CAAGTCTAGTCTTGTAACGATCAATAGTACCATCCGCAAGAAACTTCAGGGTGTAAACCCAGCGACAGCCAACAGGCTTCACCCCTGAAGGTAAGGAGACAAGATCCCATGTATGATTACGCTGAAGAGCGTCCATCTCTGTCTGCATGGCAAGAACCCACTGGGGCTCCCGCATAGCTTCCGAAATAGAGCGAGGAACCAGCGTATCTGATAAGGCCATAGTATAAGCTCGAAATGTGGGAGACAGATTACCATAAGAAACATAAGCAGAGATCGGATATAAAATCTTTGCGGTCCAACCATATCGATCAACTGGACGGCGATCACGCCTTGGATAACGACGCCCTAAATCACCATCCTCTACTGATAATATCTTATCAGGTAAAGTAACTGGCTCAGCACCTGTAATCTCATCAGTACTAACAACAGGTGCATCAATATGCTCAACAAACTGAGAAGTATTACCTGCATCGCCTGAGGTAGAGGGGATATCAGCAGGGTGATGAGAGCGAGGACAACGAGCATACACCTGCAAAGGAAGAGAGACTGGTAACTCTGTACTGACAGGGATGAGTGACTCCTTTGGAGGAAAAACGGATGACCCTGTAGGGATAGTGATCAATGACTCTGACTCTTGTGGTAATGGAAAATCAAAGGGAGTATCATTAACTGGAGGGGCAGACAAAGGACTGAAAGGAAAATAAGGAATATGCTCAAGGAAGGTAACATCTAGACTGTGATACATACGACGCCTAATAGGATCATAACATCGATACCCCTTAGATTGATGACAATAGCCAACAAAGATACAACGAATCGCTTTATCATCAAGTTTATGACGAGTAGGAGACCGATCCTGAACAAATCATGTGCATCCAAAAACACGAGGGGGGACCGGAAAAAGTGTCCGCTCAGGAAATAAGACCTGTAAGGGAGCCTTATGCTGAAGAACACGACTCGGCGTACGATTGCACAGAAAGGTAGAAGTCAAAACAGCAAAATGCCAATAAGATTTTGGTACCCTCATGCCTCTAAGCAGACAACGTACCATCCCTATCAAACTCCTATTTTTTCTCTCAGCAACACCATTTTGCTCAGGAGTATATGGACAAGTGAGTTGCTGAAGGATACCCTGAGAAGAAAGGTGAGACACTAAAGCATCAGACACATATTCTTTGGCATTATCCGAACGAAGAGCACGAACAATGACATCGAATTGTGTCTTAATCATCTGTAAAAACTGAGTGATTATAGGGAGCACATCAGACTTCCTATGCAAAAGTTAGACCCAAGTACAACGGGTATGATCATCTATAAATGTCACATAATATCTGGCACCTGACAGAGCAGTAACGGGAGAGGGTCTCCAAATATCAGAGTGTATTAGGTCAAATGACTTGGGTGACTGGTGCATGCGAGGAATATAATTGGCCATAACATGTTTTGATAGGGAACAGATAATGCAATCAAGTTTACCACCAACACAAGCATTACTCAAAGCAGGAAACAACATACATAAATATTTAAAATTTGTATGTCCAAAACGGTCATGCCACAATTGAACAGTTTGTGATGAAAAATCATAACGACAACTACTAGGTAAAATACTAGCATGCAAGCTAGGAACAGAAAAAGACAAAGCAGGTGCAGGTGAAGGAATTGGTGAAACTGGAGATGGATTGCGAAGATAATACAGTCCATCTTTCTCATGTCCCTTGATAATAATCCTCCTGGTACTCAGGTCCTGCAAATAACACGAATCAGATAAGAAAACAACCGCACAGTGAAAATCTCTGGCTAACTGATGTACAGATAATAGATTCATGGCCAACTTTGGCGCATGAAAAACCGAATGTAATGTAAGGCCATCTGGGAGACGGACTGTACCCCCACTAACAATAGGGGCATGTGCTCCATCTGCTAACTGAACCTGTGTATGTAATGGCTCGTCAAAAGTGGTGAAGTGATGGGTCTCACCTGTCATGTGACCATTCGCACCCGAGTCCAACATCCAAAGGGGAGATGAACTGGCACAAGCGTGAAAGGCACGAGATATACCTGTAGTGGTGACAGCAGCAGTAGTCAGACTCTGAGAAGTCAGAGCAGACATAAGTATATCTAATCGGGAAGTGATAGCATCCATATCACTTTGCCAAGGAGGAGCAGTAGCAGGAGTGGCGGTAGTGGGCGGTGGTACCTCAGCAATAGCAACAGTACGGCAGCGAGAAGGTAACTTAAGCTCTGGATGGAGCTTCCAGCAAGTAGCCCTGAGATGTCCTGGTCGGCCACAATAATCACATTGACGGGAATTCCCCCGTCTGCGCTGATCTGGGGCGCCCTGACGGCGCTGGTCTGAGCGTTGCCTATCCCTGACTAAGGATCCTGAACGGGACCCTACAGCAGCTGCAAGGGCCATCTGGTCAATCGAAGGAGGCAAAGCTGCAACTGGAAGTGATGCAATACGGACTCGACGCTCATGCTGCTCAATCATCCAATACACCTCATAAAGAGAAGGAAGTGTCAACATCGACAAGATCTGAGAATGAGGTCCCTCAAACTCATCACGAAGCCCTATAAGGAACTTGTGAATCCTATCCTCCTGCTCTCGAGTATGCAAGAATGCTGCTCCCTCGGGCTCTATCTTCGGAATAACAGCAAGAGGACGTAGAGACTCATACTCAAGCCAGCGCTGGGTCAAATAGCCATAATAATCCTGAACGGTCATATCTCCCTGCCGAGCATATGAGAGCTCCTGAGAAAGCTCATAAACACGAACTCCCCGTCCTGACTGAGAATACATCTCTGATAATGCGCTCCATAGCTTCGGAACAGAGCTATGAAACTGGTGGATCCTGCAAACAGAGGGCTCCATTGAGCCAAATAACCATCCAAGAATGACACAGTTTTCAGAGAACCATGCAGAATATCCAGGGTCGGCATCAGCTGGCTTTGGGTGAGATCCCGTCAGCCAACCAAGCTTCCCTACACGGCCTAAGAAAAGCTGGAATGAGCGTGACCACTCAGCGAAGTTACGACCATTCAACAACTGTGCCGTAACTTTTTGAGAGATCATGCCCGGTAATGCTGGTAATGCAACTGTGCTAGTAGGCACTGTATACTGGTCAAACATAAAAGTGGAAGTACCCATAGATGTCTCAACGGTAGAGGTGTCAACAGTAGGGTTCTCAAGTCCCTCAGTAGTAGTCATATCAACAACAATACTAGGGCACCCGTGACAGAAAAATAACTCTAAGATAAATAGAGGAATAAAATAAGGGAGAACAATATACCTTCAGTCGAACAGTAGCGACAAATAGGGAAGGTCCAAAAAACTCCCAAATAATCAAGTCACGGTGCCCAGAAATCCAAAATATATAAATAAGTGATCTACTGCATCAAGAGCAAATCAACAACCCCTCATAAAAAAAATCCTAGATATAACAGTGGGTTGGGTTTAGTATATGTTTAATGGATGGAATAAAAGCAATCAGTTGGTTTGAGGATGGGCAGTGGGCTGGGTTTGGATTTAATATGTATGGGTTTGGTCAGAGTATTGGGCTGGGTATCGGTTTAATATGTCGGTGTGGTTTGGTTGTGTCTGGACAAGAAAGGTGTGGTTTGGCTCGGATCTTGGATTCCGATTTGAAGAGGAGCTGTCTGTATTGTATCAATAGTCGGTGCAGTGATTTCGAGTCAAGTGATTTCCGTCAAATCGGTGCAGGCTGTCTTCTACCCGGTTAGTCCCTCCTCCTTCTCCGAGCTTTCAAGGCCCAAAAATCAGCTGTGATGAGGCAGAGTATTGGGTATATTGATGCAGGTAGTGTATTGGGTATTGTATTGGGTATTATATTGTTGTTCGCCGCCTTGCGGGTCAGACTTACTTGGTCTGAGATGTTTGTTGCTCGGTCTTGATCCTTGGAAGTTCTGGGGATGCTTTGATGTCTGGCTGTTCGGTGTTCGGTGATTGAGTGGTTTCGCTGGGCAGTCGGTGTCGGTTTGAGTGGTGGCTGTTTGGTGTGGTTGCTGGGTGGACGGAGTGGGATGCTTGCTGGCTGTCGGTGCTACTGGACAGTGTGGTGATTGATGGCTGGTTACTGTTGCAATGTGAAGGAGGAGCAGCGGCTGGGTCTGTTTGGTTATGACGATTGGCGGAGGTTAGAGTTAGGGTTAGTGACTCTGATACCAACTTGAGATAGTTGTGAATGAAAAGAGATACTCAAATTAAGAGTAGAACCCCGTATATATATCCAAAAATAATACAGAGTGACTTAAACATCCTTGTAGTTTAGGCAAAATATAAAAATCATAGTAAGGGTAAAAAAGGGAAAAGAAATCCTAATAAACCTAGACTATCTATACTCCAACAAAGATGAGTGCCTCCGATATAAACATACCAAACTTTTGTTATACATTTTTTCATACGATTGAAGTTTGAGTATGATATAGTTTTAAGATTGCTTGATAGTGTGTTTTTCTTTTATGATTAAACAATGATATACACACCAGAGTCTTAAATGAACTAAAACCTAATTTGTTATAATTCTGCAAGGTATGCTTTACAATTGCAAATCTCTGAATAAATCAATAATTCGAATAATTACACCTTCAGAATAATCTTTTGTGCATGCACTTTTGTCTGCCTATAAAAATAACGGAACGTCTGTGCAGCGAATGATCCCCATAGCAAGCCAAATTTAGTATAATGGTAAATGCACTTTGGCCCCTAATTTTTTTAAAAAAATTTGCTTTGCCATCTCAAATACTAAAACTAAACTCCTTTAAATGAGGTAATATGGCTCCCACATTGTCCTTATGCTTGCACTTTCAACTAGGTGATGAGGATCACTTTGCTATATTAAATAGGGTTAATATCATTTTTGCAAGTTTGGTTCTTATTGTATTAAATTTTGTTAAATTAGTCCTTAAAATTTCAATTCAAGTTACTTTAGTCTCTAACCAAAATAAGAATCAGACAAGGGAAAAAAGAAGACGATACTAACCAAAAGACTGAGACCAGTGACGTCACAAAGAGAGATGGCAATGGATGTGCTAGAGAGATAAAGTTCACCCAATTGACCAACCATCATCAACGATATAATTTGCAACATATACTCTGATAAAGTCATACCCAACATAGGCCCAGCTATGTAGACTAACCTCTTCATTTCTTGACCCAACACACCCCATGTTACACTCTCATCTTCTCTCTCTTCCATGGTCGAAAGTGGATTGGAATATGAACCTCAGAGAGAGAGAGAGAAGTTGACGGGGTTTTTATATATGTGTTTGCACATGGGGAAAAATATATAGTTGAGAGAGAGAGAGAGAGAGAGAGAGAGAAGTTGCTGGGGTTTTTGTAAATGTGTGCGCGCCCAAGGGGAATGAACGAGCTCTATTTCTTACAATCACACAGTTGCAGAAAAGGTGCGCGGACTCTCATTCATTCGTTCAGTTACGTAACTTAAATTTGTATCTCAAATGATGAGATTATTGGATCAACGAGTCTTATTTAAAAAAATTGATGGGACATACTTATTCAATAGTCCTTTTCATTTGAGATATAAATTTGAGTTACAAATTTGAGATATATAATATTATTCTATTCATTAATCAGTAATGCTACACTGATCAAATTTGAAGCCCAAATGACATGACAATTGATTTAGGTTTCTTTATTTGGTGTCATGTCATTTGGACCCGAAGACTTTAAATAATATGCTGCCATGTTATTTGAACTCTAAATTTAATCCCAAAATTTAGTTAGCATAATATTACTGTTCATTAATAGTGGCTGCATCACTTATTAATGACTAGTTGATGCACATGTGCGTTGCATGTGAATCGTTTTGAATATAATAATTGTCAATCTAAGTGTTATTTAATCATATAAACTTTCAATTTTTTCTTTGTGTTCTTGTAGGTATTCATCAAAAGTTTTAGGAGAAAATATCTTGTCTCTTTTGTCATGATTAAGATAGTATTTTCAAATCTTGATAGACAATTCATTGTTTCTCCATAAACCAACAAAGAGAATATGACCAAAACATATAGGTACATTTTTTAATCATAATTTGCAATCAACAAAACTAATCTTTATTGTTAGGACCTTGAAATGTTCAAGTGGAGAATAATACCCAATGACGTGTTTCACTTCACAACAAGTTATTATCACAAGACAAATAAAATGTGCACTTTTCACTATACATTTTAAGATTAGAGAGATCGCCTAAATCATTTAACTTTATTGTAACTTATTTTATCTCATATGTTTATAGATGCTAGATGGTTAATTTAGATTAATAGATTAATATTGTCTTCTATTTCAAATTTTCATTTATCAAACAAAAACCATCATCACATATAAATGTTAATTCTATCTAAACATACAACAACCATAAGTAGATTTTTGTCATCTAAACTAAACACCAAATCAGGGTTATCCTATAAATTTCGCATATAAGTTGATAGAACAATTGTGTTATGGATATATTAATATTTGACTCTATCGAAGCAAGATAAGAATGTGAGAGTTGAGTATCTAATATCTACATCTATGTCTTTTGGCTTCCTTTTGTTCAGTATCTAAACATCAATTCAGGAAGGGTAAAACAATATTCCTAATCAATGGTTTGAATACATCTCTCCACATTGAGAACAAATTGTAAAAAATAACAAGATAAAAAGTTCTCAACAAAATTGTTATAAGAAAATTCAGGATTTGTAAATGCAATGACAAGTATAATAGGTGCACAACTACTATTTCCAATTGTGATTTACAAGCTAATATAACAAACACAAGGTTTGTATTCATAAATAAACACTATACAACAGCTAACCAACATAAATTTATTGGTTGGTGTAACATAAACACTATCTCTCGCCTCATGGTAGAATTTTCGGGCTAAGAAAAGTGTAACATAAATTTATTTAGACTAATAACAACAGCATAGAATTTTCTTGTCCCTTGATATCTAGCTCAAATTCATTAGAAAATTGCGTTAGTATAAATGTTAAAGTTTCCAAATTCAAACACTTTGGAATCATATATCCTATGATTAAAAAATCAAAGTAAAAAAGTATGGTTGATTAGATCGCTCTAACTGGGTGGAAGTTCTAGTTTAGTTGGAAGTTTGTCTGTGTCAAAAAATTAATATGGCTTATACAGATAGGAAGAAACACAAATTCAAATGCATATAACTACTCATATTGGATGAAATTGATCAGAAGCGCACTTGGGACAAATGACATTTGATTTCTTGTCTTTGTTAACATCTTTCTCCATTAAGTCACACATTATAAAACAGTCTTATAACCCAAAATATTAACTATCTTTAGTGATTAAATAAAACATAAACTATTAGCACGGACAAGAAATAAAACATGAGACAAGCGGAGCACTTGGGAAAACAGAATGTCACTCAATTAAATAAACATAAACAATCAAAAAAATATAACAAGTAGATTTGGTCCATAGTGCATTAAACTTGAATAAATGTACCCAAAGAAAACCTTTCATTTTTCATTGCTACCGGTGTACCTACTTTTTATGCTAATAAATATACGTAGTTGTAGCTCAAACCAACCGTTGCACCCACTTTTTATGTCAATAAATATACACAACAATTATTCAAGTATGAATATGAAAAATCAAGACATTTAGAGATTTATATAATAATATACACACACACACACACACATATATATATATATATATTAAATGCAAAAGTGTAGTATAAACATTAGTAGTTGTATTAAGATTATTATAGTTAAACAAAAAATTTTTACTTTTGTTGACATTTTATAGTAGTATAGATTATTGCCTATTAATAGGACTCACCTTCATATTCTCACATAGGGCTTTGGGCCGCCCCTGGGTGCACTTACTTTTTATGTTAATAAATATACACGGTTGTTATTTAAGTATGAATATGAAGAATTAAGACATTTAAAGATTTATATAATAATAAACACACACACACACACACACACACACATATATATATATATATATATATATATATATATATATATATATATATATATAAATTAAATGAAAAAAGGATAGTATAGACATTAGTAGTTGTATTAAAGTTATTATAGTCAAACAAATTTTTTTCACTTTTGTTGACATTTTATAGTAGTACTAGTAATTTTCTGTACTTGAAGGCACTGAGTTATAAATCTCATGTATCGCCTATGTCAGTCGCCAATAAATACCTCATTAAAACATTATGCCGACTAAAGCACATGAAGTAAAGCAAAAATAACAATTTCAAAGGTTATTATTAATGTCGCAGAGTATAGAATTAATGTCAAGGGTCAAAGAATTGTTTACAATTAAGGATTCCAACATACCTTACCAATAAAATAACAAATCGTAAAACCCATAATAGTTCCCTCAGTGTTCATCATGAAAATGCATTTATTCATTCATTCTCTCTCTCTCTCTCTCTCTCCAGAGAGAGAAGCTGTAAATATATATACCACGTGTACTGCACGTGCCTTACATTAGGAGGCAAGAGAAGCCAGCACATGGAGCAGTATTCCATTGACAAATAGAAGTTTGGTGCTAATTTGACCAAATTACTTGGTTTAGGGCTTTTAACTATTTGTTAATAATCCAATGTAACTTTCACTAAATTGCAGTTGAAGCAATCTCAACCACACGGTAGGTCATCTAAACCCACGTGGCTTCCACTGGTGTGTGTTGTGGTGTAAATGATCAAACAGATGGACGGTCAGATGATCATGTCAGTGTGGGTCCCACCACGTGCACGACATGTGCAGGCTCACACACGCTTGTCCTGCATCCTCGAACAAAAGCATCATTAATCATATAAATTTATGAAAACCGATTACAAATCTAACTTTGGAGTGTCTCCTCAAATCCGAACTCACAATCATTAGAGAGTTAACCCCCAGTATTTTAGCAATGTATGAGGTGAGGACTAAACAGAGCAGGACAAAAAGTATGGAAAAAGCTTTCTGACTGTGACCTACCTTTTGAAAATGGGTTTTATACAATGTAAGAGGACTGAACAGAGCAGGACAAAAATTTTAAATTTTGTCAAAAGAGATAGCAAAACAAACAAATCTTTGGGACTATGAGTCTATGACCCACCTACGTTTAGAGAATGGATTTCATACAGACATTATCTTTGCACTCTATCTTATCAAATGGGTGTCATATGAAGCATCTCCAAGTTATATAAAGTTTATCTCCTCTCCTTTTTGTGCTCCGTTTGATATAAAAAAAAATAAAAAATAGGAATGATAAAAACGAAGAGGGATATATTTTATATCCTTAAAGGAAGAAAATAAGAATAATATATATTTTTTCCTTTGTGTTTGATAAGATAGATGAAAAATAAAAATGATTAAATATTTTTTTTTTGTGTTGGCTAAGATTAGGGGTGACAATCGAGTCGTGCCGTATTAGGTTCGTGTTAAGTCATTACGGGTTTGTATCGAACATTAGTCAAACCTAACTCAACTCATTTAATTAATTGTATCGTGTCGAGTTGCACTGTTTATTTTTCGTGTTGTGTTCGTGTTGACCTTGATAAACTTTGAATAAAATAATTAACGCTAATATTCTATTTTTACTTATTTGAATCCATATTCATATTTTTTCTATAAACCAAAAATTAGCTTAAATAAATATAATAATAATAATAAATAATTTTTTTTATTTAATAATTATGTCAGTACTTAATAAATAGTTACAAATAATTAACATTTTATGTCTATAATACTAATTAAACATGTTAGTTTAGTATTAATTTCGTGTTACCATACAAACGAGAAAATAAAAAAAATATTTATTTTTAAATAAACGGGTTGAACTGAATATGAGCCATTTATATTTCTTATTCGTGTGTCAGGTCATTTTCAAGTTCGTGTCGAGTTTTAATCAAGTTCAAGTCGTGTCATCGTGTTTAGTCGAAAATTTTCACCCCTACTTAAGATGAAAAAAATATATTTTTTTTTAATTTAAAATTTAAAATTTTAAAATTTTTTAAAAATATATATATTAATATATATTTTATTATTTTATTTTTATATGAAATTAATCTACATATATATAGACAAATAAAATAGATCTCAACATAAATAATTAACTTTTTATTCACTTTTCTTCCGATTTTGGTGAGTTAAAAGAAAAGTTAATCCATTCACTTTTTTATATTTCCTATATTCCTTCTTTACCAAATTT